CCAAGAAAAGGGTTTGTGGCGTAGGCGCTACACTTTTGAGTTATACGGAAGTTTTGGGAAACCTGACGTTGTAAAATGTATTAAATTAGCACGCCTTCGATGGATAGGACATGTAATTAGGCAAGATGAAGATGCAACGATCAGAAAAATTTTCGACCGAAGAGGACCAGTGGAAGACGAGCCAGAGGAAGACCAAAACTGAGGTATCAAGATAATATAGAGGATGATCTAAAATCCATGGGAGTTAAAGCATGAAGAAGGGTTGCCAGAGACAGGGGCGAATGAAAGATAGTTCTGAAGAAAATAGTTCTACAAAGAATAGTTCTACAAAGAAAAACCATTGATCAAAATAAATTTTCACAAATTACTTCTCTACTCCAATTTTGCCTTTCCCAAGATTTCTTTATCTTTTATGATAAAATTTATAGACAACCAGAGGGTTTAGCAATGGGAAATCCTTTATCTCCTCTACTTGCAGATCTTTTTCTAAACTCTCTCGAAACTTAATAATCTACATCCTGCAATTCATTTCACCTTAGAAGTAGAAAGAAACAACATTATCAACTTTTTAGACCTAACTATCAAAAAGAATGCTTCCTCCTCTTCTTCTTTGCCTACACTAGAATTTTCAATTTTCAGAAAACCTACTTAAACTGACCATATGATACCAACATCCTCAAATCACCCTTTTCAACACAAGATGGCAGCTATTCAATGTTATGTCCACAGACTTCTTAATATCCCTATGTCTCAAGAAAATTACAATAAAGAAATCTCCATCATTAAACAGATAACAAACAACAATGGTTTTCCTTCTACTACTGTTGATAAAGTCATTAGAAAATCTATACTCAAAAAGAGACTAAACCAAGCTTTTAGTGTTGATAAAAAATCCAACACTACTTCTATATATAGATCCTTATCTTACTTAGGACCAATTTCAGAAAAAATTTCAAGAGTACTTGTTAATAAAATCAGTGACTTAAACATCTCCTTTAAAACCAAATATAACATCAAGTCCATCTTCAGCAAGACCAGAGACAAAGTTGACAAACTAAACAGAAGTGGTATTTACAAGCTGTCCTGTGGTAACTGTAATATGACTTATGTAGGTAGAACAATGAGAACTCTGAATCAAAGAATCAAAGAACACCTCAATAACCCAGAACTCACCAAAGGATTAAAATGGATTTCTGTAGAATTTCGACAATTGTAATTATTACCTTTATCTTTAAATTGCTATACAATTTACCATAAGAGGAAGCAATTGCTTGTAAATAGTTTTCGTTAAGACACTTTTGTTGCTAGATATTGGAGAAGCGCATTTATGAAATAGTTGTGCGGCCTTGGAAATTACCCAAATTATAAGGGTATAATTTTAGATACGTGGACTGATTTTTACTACCTCTCCTATAAATATTTTGTTATCCAGTTTTGTAACGTAGAACATTTTTGTATCATTATCCATTCAAACGTGAGCATGTAAGCATCGCTATACCAAACAATTAATATTCTTTCAAGCTGTTGGGTTATATTATTTTAAATTAATAAAGTATTAGTATTTGCAATTTTATTTCACAGCAAACTAGACATTGGTCAACACATGGTCCTCGAGTCGGATATTTGAAGAACTGAACTTGGTTATCGTCAAAAAATAGAATTGTTAAAATTGGTGGTGATTTTGTCGCTTTAAATTACAGTCAAGTTATTATTTGTAAAATAATGGTGCTATACAACAGTCAGTGAAGTATCCAAAGAATAAGTTATCGTTATCTTGTCATCATCATCTCTTCGAATTCTCAAGAATTCATCTTACATCGGTCGTCGTAATCTTGTGCCATCGCCAATTTTCATCATAGCATCAAATCTTCGCTGTCAACACCATACCTAAGTAAAGAAATCGAGCAATTTAAAGTAAATCATCAAACCATTCAATTAATCCATTCTTGTTGTTTTATTTCTTTTACTGCTCATAAAAATTAATATCCTCTGTATTTCGAGTTTTTATCAAAATTAATTAGTAACTTGTTTATTAGCGTTTTGTCGTGACAGATTTTAGTTGTTTGGTTATTTGTTTCTATTTTATTTTTTTATTTATATACATTATAAAACCTTAAAATGACTGAAGACGTAATTAAAGCTCTTAATGCCCAACGCGGTAATACCAAGCGATCTTTAACGACATATGAGAAGTTTTAAATAGATCATCCTGAAAGAGATTTTTCAAGCTTGGAAAAACGGTCTTAGGACATACAAAACTTTCGTAAAAATTTTGAAATCGTTCAAATTATTTCTGGAACTATTACTGAAGAATCAGATGAACTTACTAATTATCATACAGACTTTGAGGAACAATATTATAAAACATATGCAATCGCTACCAAACTTTTGTTGGGTCGGATTACGGAAAAAATAAAATCGTTAACTTTGGATGATATACCATACCAGAAACAATCATTTCTAGTATTCCTTCATCATTGTTGTCGGCAGAAATTCAATCTGCAAACAGCGTTATATAAACTGCTTTTGCATCAAATTATTTTGCAATGAAATCCCCGGCATCAGCGCTTCCAATTAATCAGTTGCCTATCTTTAATGGCAGCATCGACACATGGTTAGGTTTGTATGATTTATTTAATTCATTATTTTATGAAGATAATAAAATTTCTCCCGCAAGAAAACTATTTTATTTGAAAAGCTGCTTAGCAGGAAAATCTGCTGATGTAATCTATTCTATCGAAGTGTCTGCTCCAAATTATAATGTCGCGTGGAATTTTTTACAAGAACACCATGATGATCAAAAATTCATTCGTGATAGTTATACCAAATCGCTAATTGACACGCCGCGCCGTGCTTATCAAAAGAATTTTCAACTCGCGAATTCTCAGATTACATTCAAAAATATTTAAGAACGTTAAAAAATCTTGGTGATCCTATTAACTGATGGGATTCTTTTCTCGTTATTTCTCGTCGAACATGGCCCAGCAGTCGCGAAATCAACAAGCTTATACTGCAACTACTTCACAAAACAGTTTTATTTTTTGTGAAGGTGAGCATTATGTTAAATCCTGCAGAGAATTCGCATCGTTATCGCCTGTTAGACGTTATAAAGATGCTAAAAAAGGTTGACGGTATATTAATTTTTTCGCCTTGCATCGCGCCTTGCAATGTACCGCTTCCAACTGTCGCATTTGTCGTCAAAAACACAAACTCGGATCTACCTACTGCTTATGACGCCTATTTTAATTGGTAGATATTAATGATGTATTAAAATTAAATGTAGGTATATTATATATGTGATTTTAATTGCTTTACATAAAGTTTTACAAAGTATTCTTACTTTTTATTTGTCTGTTGTAATATAGGTACATATCCAAGGTGAAAGGAAGAAACCAGCGGCTTCTAGATGGAACGTAGACATTCTACTCCCTTTCTGGTGAACTCATATGCTACATAGAGGTCATTGTATATGTAGAAAACAACAGTCGATGATAGTGAAGAGGCGCTTCATTTTTTTTAAGCCCAAAATTTTGTGTAACTTGTGGCATGTTGAAAATTCCTTAACTATCTTATATTCAAGAAAATAAAATTTTCTAAGACGTCCCTGGCCCAAGTATTAATATTTACCATTTCTGTTTACACTGTGAGGTAAAAGAAAAGATTTCCAAATTCCGGTTATAACTAGGACGTGAAAATATGGTTAGATTTATTTGTATACGTTAGTTCTACAATTTTAAAAACTGGAAATGATTCAAGGACGTTTTGCGAGATAGTTAAGGTCTGTTTAAAACAAGAATTTTGGGTTGTTTGATTACAAGAGCGATAGAGAAATAAGACGCAAAACTGATAAGCCGGTATGAAAGGTCGATTGAATTCAAGTTTAGGTTGAAAGATTTCGTCAAAGGGAAAGGTCGTCATTACGTAGTTTTGCGAGAAACCGGCAAATTTATTTAAGAAAAAGTGATGTATACCCAAAGTAATGTGTCAACTCTGATAGAAGTAATCACTGTTTTTTAAATGTAAGCCGTCTCTCATCGTGAGATATTTGCAAAATGGCTTTCCAAATAAATTTGAGATATGCCCACATCAGTCCTTTTAAGAGGCAGAGTTCCAAGTTTTGTGTTCGGTGCCAGCTTTAACCTCAAATGGTCAGTCCTATCGCAGTGTGAGATGTAGTTTTTTGTTCCAGTTGTGGAAATTTGACTAATTCCAGTTCTAACCCCAAAAGTTTTAATGCATTTCATTGTAAAACCAAGAAAGGAAGAGCCTTTTTTCCTTAATTCAGCAAGACCAGGATCTTCCGAAGCAGCGTCTTTATTTTAAATAGCTAGAGGCCTTTCTTGTTGTTTTTGTTTGCCCATTTGTCCAGGAGATTCATGAAAGTATCCTCATTTCGTTTCATTTTTGTAGTTGCCTCAATCCGACCCCTTGCTGAGTACTGTTAGCATAAGTTTCGATTTATATTGCTTGCCCTATCTCCACCCCCAATAGTTTGTGTCCCAAGATTTCAACCCCCATAGTAATACCCTATGTGGTAGGCAAAATAATTCGTTACAAACAGGCCCTTTTGTTGACGTGCAAGAATAATTTGATTATTAAGTAAATATTAATACTTGTACCAATCAAGTTTCCGTCTATGAAAAATGGACCTCTTGGACAATTCCCATTCAAACATTAAACTGTTTTGAATACTGGGTATGTGGCTCATGAATCCAACGAGGAATTTTATTTGACCAATACCTAGAATAATGGCGGCGGTTAACTTTTCATTTTAAATAAAACATTATCCGTCGGTCAAAATCACCCAACTCTTGACCCAATTGCATCTTGTACGAATAATACTTTTCAATTTTAAATATTTTTATTTTTTACTAATTATTTAATATTTTATTTATTACAGAACATCGACTTATAGTATGGCTTAGTGCCACTTTTGCTGTGTAATAAAGAATACCGATAATAATAAAAAAGCAAGACAAAATAAAAAATTACACGCTTACCTGGAGTGATGAAGGGGTAGCAAGCATGGGGTTCAAGATGATGGTGACATTGTAGAGAGTCTTGCTCTAAACTGGTAAGATTCGGAGGATACTCTTCCTCCGGTGATCTTTCTGAACCATAACCTTGGTCGCAAATTGTTTGCGTATCGGAGAACTTCCAGTGAAGAGGGGCGCTATCGCCAATGGGAGGGATCCTATCAACCTGAAAAGAACAGCATTTAATGTAAAATAACTTTACTCAGTTTATCTTTTATTATACTCGTATATACATTTTTCTCGTACATTAACTAATTTACATAACAAAATCTGCAATTACCTCATCCAAATGATGTTTCCCGTCATGGTTATTGTTACAGGCCCCATTCTTATCTCTATCGTCCAGATAACTAGGCAGACTGCTGCATATCTTCCCCTCGGGATGTCTACCCTTGCCGCCGCTACCCGCGCCGCCACCACCGTTACATATGCTACCACTAGACTGCGAGCGCCGCCCCAACCCTTTGGCCGAGTGGCGGCTGACGTTAGCTCCCATCTTCACGTCATCATCCACCTCCTGCAACAAAATACCGAAATAAAGTTTACAGGTGACGGTGCGGGTGGAAAGAACACGTTTAATGGAACGTGAAATGATGGGAGTACGAGTATGTGAAGGTGTTGAATATAATTCGATAGGGTGGAAAAGAGGAGAAGGTTCAGGGTTACTCAGTTTTGTGAACATCATGCCATGATAGATACATGTATAACGGACGTCCTCATATTTCGCTTATGTTGAGAAAAGTGTTCCTGAATTTTGCAGAGATCATCGTTTCCGATTGACTGCAAGAAGGATTATATAAAAATATTCTTCTAGAAATTTACAGCAGTAGTAAAGAATGAGTTATTCCCTATTTAATGAGTTACTAGTTTTTATATTTTGCAATATGCTGGTAAAAAAGCAAAGAAATGAGCAAGATGGGTGTTAATTGCATTAAAAAATAACATAAACAACAACCATAGTAAAAACCACAAGCAAAAAATTGTATATGTTAATAAAATTTAGGAAGATATACTCATAAACTAAAGTACAAACATCAGCAACATAACAAGAACGAAATACATACACATAAAATAAAAAAAGAACATGAGCAATTTACTAGAGACCAGCAAAAATTGAAAATACACAAGGAAAACAAAAAAGAGGGAATAAAAACATCACAGGATATTAAATAATTTATAAAACAACTAGATGTTTTGCATTTTATTGCATTACCAGAATATGAGACAACACCCTTCCAGTGTTTTCTTTATCAATTTGCAGAACATAAACTGAATGAAATTATATCACTAGCAGAAGAACAAGAAGGTTTTAGGTCGTTAAGATCATTCACCGACGCTATATTTATAATGAGGATAGTTCAAGAGAAATCATTAGAATACAACACACCAGCATATCTATGTTTCGTGGCCCTTAAGAAGGCATTTGACCGGGTCAAATTAAAGGACGTTATCCACTTATTGTACGCAAGAGAGATACCTCTAGGAATAATCAAACCGATCGAAAATATCTACCAAAACAGTAAAATAAAAGTAAAAGTAGAAGAAGAACTAACCGACCCTATTAAAGCTGGCAATGGGATAAGACAGGGAGATTATTTTTTTTATATTTAGATGGCTTTGGTAAAGACCAATTAGATAGACGATTTTTTTTAACTATTTTAAACTATATGGTGTGATTATATAGGCAGTACAATATATTAATATTCTTATTGAAAATGATACAATTTAAATTTATGGGTAATGATTCAGTAAATTTGTACTGTAAAGGGATACTAGTAGGAAAGTTTTGGGGAAGTTCTGATTTTTTCATTCCATATGTGTTTTGGGGTGCTAAATCTGAATCTGAGGTTTGCGGACAAAATTTCGTGACGCAACATTTAAAAAACCAGAGGAAATCGTTTTTTTTGCTTTTAGTGAATGGTCTGTTTACAGAAGTTTAAGTACTGGTATTGTCGCAGATGAGAGGATTACATACCATTTGTCCAAGGAGGTGGACATGAAAGGTATACAGCGCATTGTTGATTGTGATTTTCAAGCTGTAAAATTAAAAAAAAAAGAAAAAGTGCTGCCTCTTGCGATCATGGACAGCTCCATTCAAATACAAGACAGGGCTGTAGTTATTAATCCCATCACACGTTTTCAACGAATGACCATCGCGAAACATTCAGATAAAGAGCTGCAAGAATTTTTACGTTACGAACTTAGCCCCTATCCTCTTGCTCTTTTTGATGAGCATGGGATGAGGAAAGGAACAAAATCCAGTTTGTACAAGGCTTTTACACCTACTGAACAGACTGAGTTTAACGATACAAAATATGTCATCGACGGGGGTTTCTTGTTAAACCGAGTAAAATGGCGCCAAGGTCAGACATATGCAGACATATGCAGCAGTTATGTATCATATGTAAAATCAAACTACAAATCAAGTGTTATTGTCATTTTTTATGGCTACCCTGACGAGGGTTGTGGTAGCACCAAGCGTTTAGAACGATTGAGAAGAGCACAAAGAAAACAATCTGCTGCAATATCATTAATAGAAATGATGGTTACCACTGTGTCGCAGGATAGTTTTCTTGCAAACCCAAAAAACAAGAGCCGGTTTATATCTATGTTAATAAAGAAACTTCATGATGTAAAAATTCATTCAAAGCAAGCTGTGAAAGATGCTGATATCCTAATTATCTCAACAGCTCTTGAGATGGCCCCATCAAATGAACATGTTACAGTGGTGGGAGAAGATATCGACCTACTGGTCATTTTGATCGGCCTTTGTAGCCCTGATATAAAAAATGTATTTTTTTTAAGCCAGGAAAAGAAAAGGTTTCGCACAGCCTCTACAACCCTCATCTGGCTGCTGAGAAAATCCTATTTAATCATATTTTATTCCTGCATGCGATGAGTGGTTGTGATACTACTTCTGCATTGTTAAATCAAGGAAAACTGAAATTTCTTAAAGTCCTGCAGAAGAACAAAGATTTGCAATCGGTAATTGAATCTTTCAAATACTCTAATTCAAGTCAAGATGAGATTGCCACAGCAGGAAACATGTTTCTCACGGCTTTATATGGAAAAAAAAAGAGACAAAACTAAACGATTTAAAATATAAACAATACGTATCTTCATCATTCAAAAATAAGACCAACATTTCCTCATTGCCCCCAACTGAAGCTGCTGCACGAGAACATTCACTGAGAGTTTACTATCAGGTGCAGCAGTGGTTATCCGGTCAAGCCACACCTAACGAGCAACAAAAAGACCCAAGTGAGTGGGGATGGCAAAAAACTAGTAGTGGTCTTGTGCCAGTACCAACTAGTTTGGACCCTGCACCAAACTCATTACTCCGGTACATTTCGTGTAAATGTAAAAAAGGGCTGTCAACGCAATTGTGGATGCAGGAAGGCGGGACTCCATTGTTCCCCAATATGCGCATCATGCGAAGGACTGTGTAACAATGTTGAGCCCCCAGAAGACAGCTCTGACATAGACGTAGAAGAAACTGAAGAAAGAGGGAGAGGTATGTTGGATCTGACAAGTTATTTTGTAGTCATTCATCTCTCCTTGATATATGATATGTGTCTCTCCTCTTTTTACTTTCCAGGAGAACGACTCCCGACGCGGAAGATGGAGTAATCAGACCTCTAAGCCAGGACCCGATGCCATCGAAGATCCTCACTACGAGGCGGAAGGTATGTTTAATCTCACAATCTATTTTGCAGTTTTCATCTCTTCTTGATAAATGACTTAACTTTAAACTTATATTTTCCAGAACAAGCAGAACCAGGACTCATCGTTATCGAAGAACCTCAGCCAGGGCCTTCCAAAAGACAACGGCTCATATAAATTTTGCATATTATAATATTTAATCATAATAATATATGATCATAAGTAACGAGGTTTTAAGTTTTATTTTGTTACGAGTTCTACCTACCTACTGAATTTGCATAATTTTTCCCTTTTTTCTTTTTAATTACTTGTGTGGAAAACTAGGTGACATTTATCAAATGACAGCATCCATAAAAATTAAATATTGAAATGTAAAAAGTGGGTTTTGCATAAAATGCTAAAAAATTACAATTTTCAACTCGCACTAGAAACCGAACGATTCGTCTGAAAAAAAAAACTAAATACTGGTATTTGTAGAAAATTTTAAGTACTTTAATTTCTGTAAACAGACCATTTACCAAAAGTTGATAGTTTTCGAGTTTTAAGCAAAAAACCCGAAAAAAGAAGAAAAAAACGGTTTATTCTGTTTTTTTTAATGTTGCGTCACGAAATTTTGTCCGCAAACCCCAGATTCGGATTAAGCACTCCAAAAAACATATGGAATGAAAAAAATCAGAACTACCCCAAAACTTTCCTGACAAAAATACAATTTAACTGAACTATAAGCAAATTTTGTTATTAATAACTTCATTATAAAATTGATCTGTGCTTTGACTATTTAATGAACAACCAAGTAGAATGTGTGTTAAGTCTCCAAGTTCACCACATAAACATAACCTGATTATGGATGAAATATTAAAAAAAGTAAGAACTAAAAAGGGATACCAAATTGGAGTAAAACAACTTGAAATAGTCTGCTATGCAGACGACGCAATACTACTCTCTCAAAGTGAAGACAATTTACAACGTATGTTGCACCAATTTAATATAACCACCAGAAAATTTAACATGCTAATATCCGCAGAAAAAAATGCATGGTTACAACATCAAATTTACTAAGATGTATCTAGGCATCACATTATCTAGTTACAAAAAACTCGAAACTGAAGTAGAAGATCAAGTGAATAGAGTAAACAGAGCTGTAGGCTGCCTGAATGAAACAATATGGAGAAATAAAAATATCGGCAAAGAAATGAAAGGCAGAATTTACCAAAACAGTCATCAGACCAATAATGACATACGCGACAGAAACATGAGGACAAAAGGATGTTAGAAACAGCAGAGATGAAATCACTGATTTTGATGGTAAAACACTATGGGGCAGAGCTAGAAGTACAGATATACATTGTAGGTGCAAGGTGGAGAACATCAAGAACTGAGTAAGAAATAAAAGAGTAAAATGGAACGATCATATAAGCCGAATAGCAACAAATAGAGTAGTAAAGACGACAAGAGACGGTTCCCCAATAGGAAGACAATCACCAGAAAGACCACGAAAACGATGGAACGACAACTTACTTTAGGCACATTGAAAAACAGAGTCATGTCTACATAAAAAAAGAAGAAGAAAAAGTTTCAGAGCAATTATTATGATTAGAAGAAAAATAAACGATAAATATAAACTTTAGCTTACCTGGTAGGCATCTTCGCCATCATTGGGCGCTTTTCTTTGGCCAATATAGGAGTACGAGAGGCGTCGAACTAGTTTTAATAGATCGTTGGCGTCAGCGACAGTTTCAGCTACTGTAGTATTAGGACCGCCACTTGTCTTCTCTCGTTGTGCCGAGTGTTCTCTGATTAAATGCCCTATAACAAAAAAAAAACCAAATAATAGTAAACATTAATCTTAAAAACAAATCAAGAAAATGTTAAAATATCTGGATGGCTCTAGTACTCTTTCAGCCTTTAATCCTTATGCTTATTTCCATAATAATACTAGTAACTAGTATAATGAATCTATGGCACAAATGTTTATCAGGCCGAGGTGGGAACGAAATTCCCTCACAGATATGGAAACGACAGACAAACTCACAGCATGGAGTAACAATTGCTGTGGACAAAATAAAAATAAAGTGTTGCTACTTTTTAAATACGTGTATCTCGAATTGAATGTATGCAGAAATAAACCATAAGTTCTTAGTCTCTTGACCGCGATTTTGCCGTTATTGATAAACAGAAAAAAATTAGTAAATTTAATATTTCAGTAGACTTAAAATTTATGATAGAAAACATTAAAGAAACCCATCCATTTAAAGTATGTTAGCTAGCGAAAATGACTTTTCTGATTTCAATAAAACGGCATATACTTTCATAAATAGCGGAAAAGTTAACAAAAAATATCTTAAGTTTCGTGAATAAAACTTACTTCCAAATAACCGAGCAAACTATAGGCAAAAAACCTTCAGTGAACTTAAATTAATGTAGTAAAGTAGACACCAATTAATGTAATAATAAATAATAGTGAATAATGACCAAAACAAATCAGATGGCAAATATTAAGCCACAACGGTTTTTCTTAGAACCAACACTGAAAGTAGCGAGCATAAAAAAATTGAGGGCATCACTACAGTTAAAGAAGATGTGAGGTATTGGGCACAAAGGAGACCCACAGGGACCTAACTGCAGAGAGACCGAATATCTAAGATATAAAACTGATTGCAGTTTCAGAGATTCAGTTGGAGATACCACATGACAAGTATGGAAGCGCAGTATTTGTAAGAACTCAAACCATAATCTCATCAAAAATGCATGGTAAATTTGGTATATAAGACCCCAAAAGGAGCCTTTTTTATTTTCAGTCTCACATAACTTCCAATCACAAGCTAACCAGCTTATGTTGGGAGACCAAAATTTGCCAATATTAAACCCACAGTAGAAGAAACTGCACGATAAATTAATAAAACTGATTGACCACAAACAAGTAAATTGCATTGTCAAACAATCTTTATGCCAAAGACTTCTCCAAGAAATTGCTGGCTATCGGCAATGACCGTATTCCTGTCAACGAATCTAGTGGTTTGATTTTGTTTCCACTGGTTCTTGACATTTAGTCTCTATGAAGGACGAGCTCATCTATAAAGTGTTCCCGAAAATCATTCTTAACCACAAAAGTCACAATTGGTTGAGTAAACGAACAATTTTAGCATCAAAGAACAAGGATATAGATAACTTAAACTTGACTCAAACGAAATTATGCAAAATTAAATCGTCCACTGTATTCCTTTATATACCTTTGCATAATTTACAACTAAAGATTGGCTCGGCCGTCATTAATATTTTAAATCTCTCTCTCTCTCTCTCCTCCTCTCTTTCTTCAATGGTGCTACATCCAAAATCAAGCCTTAGATACCTCCAAACTATAGCTCCAACCTTGTCGATCCCGCGCTAATTTTCTACAGGTTCTCACGTCTAGCAAATTTTGCGCGTCTGCTGCCACTTCATCTTCCCACCTTTTCCGTAGCCTTCCTTTGGTCTTTCGCCCTGTATTTTACTATCTAAGACTCTTTTTGGTAGTCTTCCGGTCTTTATTTTCACTACATGACCTGCCCATCGAAATCTCGGTGCCTATTTGGATAGTTGGTAGATTTAATGGTTGTACCTGGATCTTCATACTCCGATTTAATATCTGATTCGACTTGTATTCGCCATGACGATAAAACAATTACAAGGCCAATGTTTGATCTCGGCTGTCATGACCAGACAAATATAACAATACAATATCATACCATAGAACATGTTGAAAATTATGTATATATAGGTCATGTTCTCAAACTAGGAAAATCAAATCAAGGTGCTGAAATTAAAAGAAGAACGCAACTGGCATGGGGTGCATTCGGGAAACTAGCATATATCTTGAAAAACACCTCCATTCCTGTAAACTTAAAGAAAAAGGTGTAAAACACATGTATACTACCAGTTTGTACCTACGGCTTGGAGACAGTAGCCCTTACCAAAAAATATGCTAAAAAATTAGAAACAACGCAAAGAGCGATGGAACGAATCATGCTTGGATAATCACTGAGAGACCAGATTAGAAACACCGAGATAAGACGTATAACGAAGATTAGGGCTATTGTGGAAGAAATTACAAAAATGAAATGGCGCTGGGCAGGTCACGTAGCCCGTTATAATGACAACACGTGGACACGGAGAATTCTAGAATGGAGACCAAGGACGATAACAAGAAGCATGGGAAGACCTCAAAAAAGATTATTAGATGAAATAAGAACAGTGGCAGGTAAACAGTGGATTAGATTAGCGCAAGATAGAGAAAGATGGAAGCAATTGGGAGAGACCTCAATTCAGGAGTGAATGGAAAATAGTTGACAAAGAAGACAAATACATAAAATAATTGTTTCTCTCATAGTCAATTAAACATAGTATATAGTGAAGAAAAACCATCCAGTTTGTTTATTCTCACGTCTGGCAACACAACGAAAAATATAGTACATCAAGATCATTCAATGAAAATAATCGACAGGAGTGTAACCCATTCAATAAATGGTTAATTTGTTGTCATGTGAATTAGTTACTTTTAAAACTTTTATTGGACTTTGATCTTAATAAGAAATTTATTACAACTCTAATAATAATTTAATAGAACATTAATTAATTCCAAGACGGTACAACGGGTTGTACGGGTTATAGGACAGGTTAATTAGATGAATTTATAAATATTTTAAGGTAGAAAAAAAAAAAGTAAGTACCAACTACATCAAAACTCAATTTCTCTAAAACTTTGAAAATTGCACTTGATCTTTATACAGGGTTTTTCAAAAAGTTATGTCATAAATTAAATCACGCATTTCGGGAACAAAAATAAATTGATTGAATCCAACTTACATTAGTACAAAAGTGTACACAAAAAAAGTTACAGCTCTTTGAAGTTAAAAAATAAAAATTGTTTTTTGCATTCTCTCCTAAACTACTTGACATTTTGTAATAAAAATAGACACGTTACTTTCTTGTTTTGGAAGCATTTTTTATACAAAAGAAACAACAAAATCTAAGCGCACAGAAAAATTTTAAGGGGGGTGTGCATCCCTAAATCCTCCCAAACTTTTGATTAAAAATTCGGTTACCAATTTGAGTATGTTCAAATCAAAAGAATTTTGGGGCATCATTAGTTTAACATATTATTTTTAAAACTTTTTTGCCACTTATCACCTTTTCGAAAAACTAGTTTTTTCCTAGTTGGCCATAAAATTAGTTTCTACGGATACAATAATTACAAACAGTTCCATCAATAATAGTCAATAATTTAAAGCGATCATTTATTGTGTGAATAAGATTAATATTAAAAATTTTGATATTACAATGGCCTACACATTTCAGGAAATGACAGATATGAATTTAACTTTGGATAAGTTGGATCAGATTAAATTATGATTTTAATAAACTATCGGGAATATCGTAGGTGAACGTCAAAGAAATAATGCAACAGCCGCAAGGTGTTATGCGGTAAAATACCTCAATCTAAATATACCCAATAGAAGAATATTTTTGACCATTGATCGTTGTTTACGGAAAACGGGTACATCCCAACCGCAAGTTGCTGGCAACTGTGATCGTCCAATAATGGATGCAACTGATGAAGACATTTTAGAAATCATTGAAGAAGTCCCTGGAACAAGTACAAGGGTAATAGCTGCTCAACTAAATGTTCCTCACGTAAGGGTTTGGAAGCGTTTGAAGGACCAGCTGCTTAAACACTCTCACCTAACAACGATTCAAGAGTTATTGGTTGAAGATTATCCTAAAAGGATTGGATTTTGCGAATGGTTGTTAATGGAAAACACTTGAAATGTTAATTTTATTAGAAATATTTTGTTTACTGACGAGACTACCTTCAATAAAAATGGAATAACAAACCATCATAACGAGCACATTTGGGCCGACGAAAATTCTCACGCCAAAAAAACAACTCATCACCAAAGGACTTTCGAAGTTAATGTTTGGGCAGGAATTGTGGATAAGAATCTAATAAATATGTGATTTCTACAAGATGGCGCTCCACCGCATTACAGTAATTAAGTCCGGGAATACCTTTGCAGGCAGTATCTTGGTCGGTGAATTGGAAGGGATCGTGACGCATCTATTTCTTGGCCACCCATAAGTCCAGGTCTTAACCCCATGTACTTTTGCTTTTGGGGGTTTATGAAAAAGAAAGTGTATTCTGTAACAATAGAGGACGAGCAACAATTGATGGTTAGAATAATTGAAGCTACAAATCAATTTCATCAGAAAAATATGATTTTTCAGCGCATTCAGTTTTCCTTATTAAAGCGATACCGAATGTGTATTAAACAAAATGGGGTTCATTTTGAACATTTATTGTAATATCATATTTATAGAGGTTATAGATAATTTTTGTACTTGTGAATTCATTTAAGCCATTTATTTAGTTGCACGTAATTTTTTAAATGTTAACGAAAAGGGCCGTAACTGAATAAAAACTGTTTTTTGAAAAAAGTGATTGGGCAAACATTTTTAAAAAATAATGTGTTAAACTAATTGTCACCGCGGGGGAACAAATAGCGGTCTATCATCCTTCTATTGCCTCTGGGTGCTCAGTAGAGGGCTTCGGAGACGTCAACGAAAGCACCTCTACCCAAGTCTATTTACTGGATACAGACTTGTGAATATTTTCTTCTGATGAGCTCGTCTTGAAAATCGCCTATGGGCACCTGAAAATCGACTATTTTTATACACGCTGAAGTAGCGATAAATAGGGATTTCCAGGTCAGGACCAATAGGAAAAATGAGGGGCGGGGCGATGCGTCTCGAGCGCGAACTAGTCGCGTTCG